TGTGTGTTAGAAAGAGATGGAGAGTAAGTATGACCTGTAATTATAGTGTAACTAAAAATCACTAATTAATATTTTATAATTAATAATATTTATATAGTAATAGTAATTTATATTTAATTTTATTAATTTAAAAAAATATAACAATAATTGTGACTAAAATGATGATTTAAAAATTATTTAATATTTTATTTGCAATAATAATAATATAATAGTAGCATGAGACTGTGTTTGCTTGCTTGTTTGAGACTTAAGGTGAGAGTACATAAAGGGCTCTTTTGACCGGCCTAAGTCATCGGCTGTTTTTTTTCGGAAAATAACAAGGAAGCGTAGGGCCAAAATCGAACTAAGTCAACCTAAAACTAATTAATTCCTCTACGAAGAAGCCAGCCGTTGACCTAAGCCAGTCAAAGAAACGTTTTATGTATTCACACTTTTAAGGTGAGTACGCATAGAATATTTTTTCTGGCATAAGTAATTGTCAAACTATTTTTTTATGAAAAAATCAGCCGACGATTTAAGCCTGAAAACAATATCTTTAGGTGAGAATACATAAAACGCTTTTTTGACCTGCTTAAGTCATCGGCTAGCTTCTTCGTAGATTAACAAAGGAGTTTTAGGTCGACTTAGTTCGATTTTGGCCCTATGCTCCTTTGTGTTTTTTTCGAAGAAGACAGCCGAAGATTTCAGCCAGCCAAAAAAAACCTTTTATGTACTCGCACCTTATGCATTCTCACTCTTATAACGAATTGTGTGTTTTATTGAAAAATATATAATTTTCTTTTATATATAGAGCATTTTTTTATAAATATATTTTGTTATATATATAGAGCATTGGTTTTTTATATATGTAAATAATTTTAAGTTTTATAAATATTTGTTTTTTTTTTATAAATATTTTTTTGTTTGTTTTTACATTTTACACTACTCGGACAACATCAATACTTCTTATAGTATGAGAATACTCTTATTTGTTTATAATTATTATTAGTTTTTTTTTTCTTTACACAAAATTCATTTCTAAGCTAAGATTTCATTCTTAAAATTTAATGTTTTATTTATAATTTATTATATTTTTATATGATTTTTTATTTTTTTATAATTTTTTATTTATTTTTTATAATTTTCTTTTATTTGTAATATTTCCTGTCCCACACATTTACAACATTAAAGTTGATTAAATAAAAGGTGTTTGGGAATTTTATATTTTTTTCAATTTTTCTATTAGCTTGTCTCATTGTTTTTAATATTTTATTTAAATATTTGTTTTGCTTTTATAAAATAAATAAATTTACAATTTCTTTTAAATATAAGCATTTTTAGTTTTTTAATATGGCAACAAACATTTAAACGCTTGACATTTTTGTGCGATTTGTTTTGTTTTCTTTTTCTGTTTTGTCTCGGCAGAATATTGATGGAGTGTAAGAAGAGTAAAGAAGATTGAGAAGAGAATTTAGGTGATCTTTGGGTAAAATTTGCACAAAAAAAATCGGAGAATCCTTAAGTCTTTATAAAAGATTTTCGGAAGCTATCATGGTAGAAGAATACAGGTAGTCACATCGATACAGCTGCTGGGACAATGAACTGTCAAAAAAATTTTCAATGAAAAATTATTGAAATTTGTAAAATCTTTTGAAAAAATACGCATCATAATAACCTTCGATTTGGGTTGTATAAGAAAACATATAAAGATCTACTTATTTTTGAGAATAAATTTAAAAAAATTGAAATATCAATGTTCCCAAGCTTTGATGCATCTACCTGTATTCTTCTATCATGGAAGCTATTTTTTATACAGCCCAATCATGAATATCTGGACGGAAAGCATTTTCCTTGAGACAATTCCTCCAATCAGGAATAATTGAGGAAAAATAATTAGTAAAGTTGGCAACGCGTTGGCAATGGGTATTTTTCGTAACTTGTTTAACCTTTGTTGCATTAATTAAGGAACTTAAACCAGTTTTCAATTTTAGGATTCGGATATATGTGGCAGATGTTGATTAGCCCCTGGAGAAACATAGAAGTTTGAAAATACAATCCTGACAATGTTACTTCTTTCCGCACTTTTTTTTATCATTATCTGATACAAAATGCAAAAATAATTGAAAGAAAAAAATTGAAAATATGGTACTTTTTTTCAAAATCTGTTATATGTGCTGTTGTAGGGGGGTCATTTCCTTATGGGCACCGGCTAACTTGGTCGTCTCGCTAGGTATGGTCCCAACCCATCACCCCCTCTGTTATCACCTTTCTGTGAATGGCATATAATGACAGCTCGTCAGCTGAGATTCATTTACTTTTCCTGGTTTGTATCAGAGCGCGTCGTTCCAGTTTTCTTTCTCTCCTTAAATTATATTTTATTAATTAATTTCCTTTTTCATTTTATTTCAGGTAGCCTTATTTTGATGGCGGACAGAATTCCACATAACTCTCAGCAAATGTACGTATCCCTTGGAACGGAATGTGGATTTTCTGATCGAGGGTGGAGAATTGTGTTCCCCATCACTTCTAGGCTTTCTGCTTAGGTCCTGGCTTAGCATTCCAAGGCATAAAGGGTGTATTTATCAAAAATTCATCGACACCCCACCGATAAAAAAGGAACCTAACATGCTTAACAGGGCCCACACCAAGTGCCCACCAAAACACAAAAGAAACTAACCCCAATATACTAACAATAAGCTCTCCCTAGCTCCCACACCTTTAACGGCAACTGGGATTTGGGGATATTCGTTGTTACTACTGTGGTTTTGAGACCGCCACAAAGGCGAAATGGTCTCCCCTTAAATACCCTCCACGCAAAATTTTTTTTTGTATCCAGGGTCGGACTTTGCTTTAAAGGGCCCCACAACAAATCATGTGTGCCAAAATGTTTCTCCTCTATAATGGTTTGGCAAAAAAATGCCTAAATTTGATTAAATTAATGAATTTTTGAAAATATATAATCATCCTTGGGTAGTTATTTTGCCAGATGGCCTTCTGCCTTGGGAATGCCTTCAGGAGGTCTTCTGCCTATAAAAGACCTTTACAAGGACTTATATTTATAGATATTTTGTCTATAAAAGTCGCTTAGGAAATCCTCCGTCAATGGAAAACCTTGAGGATATCTTCTGTCTTTGGGGAAATTTTTAAGAAATCATTTGCTTCCACACACGGAAAACTTCAGAATTTCTTCTATAAATAGAAGACTTTCAAGAGGTCTTCTGTATGTGGCAAAACTTCAGGGGTCCTGAGCCAATAGGGATGAAGATTCTCTATTTCATCTTACCTTGTGCTTCATGCCGGACATGTGTTCAAATTCGAGCCCAATACAAATTGTGACGATTAAATCATTCAGATTTTTGTTGTGGCAAAAAAAATCTAATTTGACGAAGTAGCTCTGGTTCTTTTGCTGCTATGGTTGGAGCATGTTTTCCCGGGGCTATTAGCTACCCTGTATTTTTTCCATTATTGCCATGATTTCTTTAGAGTAAATACTATTCAGTCGTGCTTAATAGACCTGCTTGTGCAAAAAGTACCCTCACTCTATATAAGCATATACAGCATGGTACAATATGGAGGTAGAACAGCTTCGTAAAACTACAGAAATACAGTCCTGAGGCTATGTCCGCTTCCTGTCAGAATTATTCAAAATTATATCCAACAAGTTGTTTTCATTTATTTGACATTTTAAAATAAGTCAAATAGGGCGAAAGATGAATGAAATGGCTGATTGTTCTCTCAAAAATATGATCTGAACAGTTATATCTTTTAATCCCTTGCAAATCTGGTTAATGCACCCCCCGCAATATAAGTTTCTTCTAATCATTGATTTTAAAAATATTTTGTTTTTATTTTTTCAAAACAATAAATACATTCACAAAATAGGCAGGAGTCGGGCACACTTATAAAAAATTGTAAGCAACTGGTAGCTCTACCTTACCTTTTTATTGTACCATGATATGCAGCTGCGCATTTTCTATAACTTACCCTGTCAAATTTAACATTTTCTCGGACCTTTTGTGTGTGAAAGCTCTACTAAAATTCGTTCCATTATACTTAAAGGTTTTTCTCATTTTGGAAGGATCTGCCCTGGAGACAATTTATAATTTAGCATATTTGCATTTAAAGTTAAACCATCAAAAGAAAAAAACCATGGCTGGATTCTTGAACAGCCATTACAATGTTCAAACACGAAACTTGAGAAAAAAAAATCCGGTGATTATGTAGCTAAAATCATCAAAATACCGAATAAGGGGAGGTATCGTTATATCGGGGTTATATGAAGGCCTGTTACAGGCTATAGTACCTATCAGGAACTTCAAATGCGAAATTTCAAACAATTTCGGTGAATATTGTACCTAAAATCGTCAAAGTACCGAATATAGGGAGGTACTGATCCTATGCGAAGACCTGGACCTTCATATGCAATTTTCTGTCATAGATTGTAGTTTCAATTACGAACTCTAAATACGAAATTTGAATAAATGTCCATCCATCATAAAAAATATCCAAAAATTATGGACTCTCAATAAGTTATTATTCTCCTGAGGCTTACAAACATCCCTACATCTCTTTCCAGTAAAAGTTTTGGAAATTTCGGAAGCAAAGGATACTCTTAGGCTCTGTGACTGAAATTTACGATATAATTTGGGAAAAAGTCAAAATTATGGAATCTCAATAAGTTATTATTCTCCTCCAGTTGAAATATATTTTTCCTCTCAAAATTGTCTTCTCAATCCTACTATCCTTACACTCCTTTCGCGGGGTATATGAAAATCGTTAGCATCATTTTGTTTTTCTTGGTAATATCAATTCAAGCTATTCAAGGTTTGGTTTTTGTTCTCTTTGAGGGATATTTTGCTTTAACATTAAGCTCAGGTTGGACTCACGCTGAAACATTTGTGGCATTTGGTTTTTGGTATTTTCTCAAAATCTGTTGTTTTTTTCTGTTTTTTACGATTAGATTAAATCAAGGACTTAACATTTTTCACTAAAATTTGCCTCTATTTGTCTGTGTGTGTTTCTTTATATGTTCCTATATAAAATGGTACCCTTTGGCCATTTTCAATAGAAGCTACGCAAGAATTTGGTTATAAATCAAAACCGTTAGCTTGCACCAGCCCCACTGACATTTTGAGCCAATTGTTCATGGGGTTTTGTGGCCGGTGGTGTTACCGGACTCTTGACATGATGTACGGGACGTATGGACTTCAGTTGCGTTGTGCCATTGAATCGAACATTTACCTCACCGACCATACTGAGGGGATGCATTGCTTCGGTTTTATTTACCTCGGGTAGTTTGGGTTCTTCGGCTGGTGGTACGGCCGCCGCCTTAGCCGGTGATGTGGAGCCTCCGACTTCATTACTGGCCGCCATGCCAAAGAGTTGACGACTGGCATTGGGGGAGAATACCGCCGGTGTATTCTTGTAGCCCATGCGACTGAAAATACTGCCCGAACTTAAGGAACTACTTTGACTGCTGTTACTGCTCGTACTGGGTGGACTGAGCGGCGTGCCCACACCACTGTCCACCTCAAGGGGACTTTTAATTTGGGCCATATAACGATCAACATGTTCGGGTAATTTTAATTCATCCAAACGCGATTGCATCTCCTGCAGATTGGGTCCCTTATCGTTGTACAAACGATTCGGTCTTTGTTGCGGCTGCTGCATCGACATCTGCCTCTGGGGTTGGGCCAATTCCGGCGACTGTGGCTGTTGGATGGTGGGAGCGGAAATCTGTCGTGTGGGCGATATTGTTGCATCGGCCGAGGCCAAGGGTCCTCCACCACGTTTCTGTTGCCTCAACTGTTCGTAGGTATTCTCAAAATAGGGTGTCTTCTTGGTTTTTTGGGGCGAACCATGTTCTTCTTTTTCGTTCAACTCTTCGAGGACTTTGAGTGGAAACCCCAAGTGACTATTGACCGAGACAGATTTACCGATTTTACGTTCAGTGAAGAGAGGACGACGTCGTTGTTGTTTTTCCAAATCATCCAATTGTTGGAGAATCCGACGCACCTCTTGGGGTATTTCCAAATCGATGTTACGTTCGGCCAGATGACTGACATATCGTCCCAGGGTTTGTATGGTTAGTTCGAGGGTCTGCACCTGAGACTGGAGATTGGTGATTTGAGATTGCTGCGAGGAGCGGGTCTTCTCCAATTGCACAATTGAGGATTGGGCAAACTGTGGAGGATTGGTAACAAAGATTTTGGATTAGAAGATTGGGAGAGAAATAATAGAAGATAGGTGGGATACCTGTAATTGTTGTTCCAAATGAGAATTCCGAGATTTCTCCTGATTTAACATTTCCAAGTGGTGATTGGTTGAGGTTATTTCCTCTTGCAGCACATTGTACTCCACATTGTATTCCATTAATTGTTTATTGATGTCCAATGTGAAGACCTGTAAAAAAAAGTGAAAAATGGGGAAAAAATTGGGTTATGAGGTTATGGGAGGTTAGATTATGAGGTTACGGGAATATCGAGAGATTACTCGCTTTAAGTTTTGAGCAAAGTGCATCATAAATAGAGTGTAGATGGTTGGATAAGGAACATAGGGTCGGACGAAAACTGTAACAACCAAATTGCCATTGATTTGAAGGTGATGGTGGTCATAGCTCCCTACAGTCATTTGCTTCCTGCAGTCTCTAGAGCAAACTTATAAGGTCTAGAGGCCTATTTCTGGTATAAGTCTTCGTCTGACTTTTTATGGAAGAAACCTCAAGCTTTAATGGATACCCTACTGTGACTAAGGCCACTAACCATACACATAGAGGTGTGCTCTTCGACTCCGAGAACTAAACCAATGGCGCAGTCAATCCTTTGGACATTCTGCTATCTTAGGGCGTGGAAGCCAACATAAGTGATTATATTTCACCACGTCTGAGCTTTGACCCACCTGACATTCGCATACCTGCGGCATAGCTGTTTATACGGACGGTTCAAAGATGGAATGCGGAACGGGAGCTGGTATCTTCTGTGGCACTCTTAAAGTTCGCGAATCCTACAAGCTTAGAAACGACTGTAGCGTGTACCAGGCGGAAATCTTTGCGGACAAAAAAAGCCATGGACATATTGGTCGCGAGGAACAACGAGGTACGGTGACTATACGGATGAGATGAAAAACTGCAATCAACTTTAGATTGCTGTCATTTCTAAGCCTCTCGTCCGACAGCTGTTAAAATTATTCCAGTGATAGCTCATTATATTGTTTACAAGCTTACAAAAGCATTTTGGTGAGAATTTTCCAGAAAAAAGTTATTCGTGATGGAATTCCGGCGGGATGGTTTGATTTCTTTATATTTGGCTGGAAAACCACAAGTGGCTATCGCTAGAGCACTCCAGCATTTAAATGGGAATAAATCTTTTCTGTCTCGTTCCATCACTCGTTTCCGTGATACTGGTAGCAACATTAGCGGAAATGGTTCAAAAAGTAAAGAAGCGACTTGATCAAAACCCGCGTCGCAGTGGCCGTAACATGGCTCGTGAGCTGAACATATCTCAATATTCCATTCGGCAGATCTTGGGTTATTGAAAAAAGCTCGGGGTAAAGCCATTGAAATTCCAAAAAGTAAAAGAACTTACACCTCAACGGAAAGAAAATAGACTTAAAAAAGCCAAAGAGTTGCTTCCCTTTGCCGAAATTGGTGAACTGCCGAATTAGGTTTTCTCCGATGAGAAAACATTCGTTGTCCAGCAGTTTGCAAACAAACAAAATGATCGTGTTTACCTGCCAAAGGGGTCAGCTGAAAATGTGCACCTTCGGTTGGCCACCAGAACTCAAGCGCCGGCCGCCATGGTGATGGTGTGGGCCGCCATAATAGCCGATGGTCGCTCTCCGCTCGTATTGATCGACCGTGGCATCAGAATAAATGCCGAATATTATCGCGAGGGTGTATTAAAGCCTTGGGCACGCAAACATTTTGGCCGCACACCTTGGACATTCCAACAGGACTCAGCACCATCGCACTCAACACGTGCCACCCAAGAATGGTTACAAAATGAGGTTCCTCGCTTCATTTCCAGCGCTCAATGGCCACCAAAATCTCTGGATACCAATCCCTTGGGCTATTGTGTCTGGGGTATTTTGGAAAGTAAGGTTGGCACTAAAAAATACCAAAGTGTGGATCACCTCAAGCAAATGCTTCGCCGGGAATGGGCCAAAATACCGCAGAACAACATTCGGGCAGCGTGTGACGGTTTCATTGGCCGTTTGAAGGCCATAATTCGTGCCAAAGGTGACCAATTCGAACAAATCTAAACTTATTATAAAATTTGATACTATTTCCGACATTTTTTCTTTCAATCAATTAAGTGTTTTTATCTCACCCTGTAGGCACTACTCTGAGAGAATTCAGAACAAAAATGGCTGGACGAAAGGGGATGTAGCATCTTCAAAAGTATCTGGCCCATACTCTCGGTGAAGAGAACAAAGTCGCTACAGTCCTTGTAGAAACCTGATTTAAAACTAGTGGTGGGTATCATCACAGGGCACTGCAAGGTGAGGGCAATGACCTTGAAATGGGACAGCAATGGTATTGAATATTGTAGAATCTGTCAAGACGAAGAAGAAATTTAGACGTTTGAACTTTTGCTCTGTCCCTGTCCAGCACTCATTAATGTGAGACACAACAGGTTGATGGGGGGTAACAAGTATCACATGATTTGTCTTCGTTCTCTAACATTGACCCTACAGGCAAGATTTCTAGCCGTGGATTACCCTCATAACTCTATTTAAGGAGTTGTGGCCATTTTAGTGATCACAAATAATAGCTAAAATCGCCGAAAACTCAATATTTAAGGAGTTATGGCCATTTTAAAGTTCTCAATAACTCGTGCCTAAAAAAGTGATCACAAATAATAGCTAAAATCGCTGAAAACTCAATATTTAATGAGTTATGGCCATTTTAAAGTTCTCAATAACTAGTGGCTAAAAAAGTGATCACAAATAATAGCTAAAATCGCTGAAAACTCAATATTTAATGAGTTATGGCCATTTTAAAGTTCTCAATAATACGTTCCTAAAAAAGTGATCACAAATAATAGCTAAAATCGCTGAAAACTCAATATTTAAGGAGTTATGGACATTTTAAAGTTCTCAATAACTAGTGGCTAAAAAAGTGATCACAAATAATAGCTAAAATCGCTGAAAACTCAATATTTAATGAGTTATGGCCATTTTAAAGTTCTCAATAATTCATGCCTCAAAAAGTGATCACAAATAATAGCTAAAATCGCTGTAAACTCAATATTTAAGGAGTTATGGCCATTTTAAAGTTCTCAAAAATTCATGCCTACAGAAGTGATCACAAATAATAGCTAAAATCGCTGAAAACTCAATATTTAATGAGTTATGGCCATTTTAAAGTTCTCAATAATACGTTCCTAAAAAAGTGATCACAAATAATTGCTAAAATCGCTGAAAACTCAATATTTAAGGAGTTATGGCCATTTTAAAGTTCTCAATAACTAGTGGCTAAAAAAGTGATCACAAATAATAGCTAAAATCGCTGAAAACTCAATATTTAATGAGTTATGGCCATTTTAAAGTTCTCAATAATACGTTCCTAAAAAAGTGATCACAAATAATAGCTAAAATCGCTGAAAACTCAATATTTAAGGAGTTATGGCCATTTTAAAGTTCTCAATAACTAGTGGCTAAAAAAGTGATCACAAATAATAGCTAAAATCGCTGAAAACTCAATATTTAATGAGTTATGGCCATTTTAAAGTTCTCAATAACTAGTGGCTAAAAAAGTGATCACAAATAATAGCTAAAATCGCTGAAAACTCAATATTTAATGAGTTATGGCCATTTTAAAGTTCTCAATAATTCATGCCTCAAAAAGTGATCACAAATAATAGCTAAAATCGCTGTAAACTCAATATTTAAGGAGTTATGGCCATTTTAAAGTTCTCAATAACTAGTGGCTAAAAAAGTGATCACAAATAATAGCTAAAATCGCTGAAAACTCAATATTTAATGAGTTATGGCCATTTTAAAGTTCTCAATAATTCATGCCTCAAAAAGTGATCACAAATAATAGCTAAAATCGCTGTAAACTCAATATTTAAGGAGTTATGGCCATTTTAAAGTTCTCAAAAATTCATGCCTACAGAAGTGATCACAAATAATAGCTAAAATCGCTGAAAACTCAATATTTAATGAGTTATGGCCATTTTAAAGTTCTCAATAATACGTTCCTAAAAAAGTGATCACAAATAATAGCTAAAATCGCTGAAAACTCAATATTTAAGGAGTTATGGCCATTTTAAAGTTCTCAATAACTAGTGGCTAAAAAAGTGATCACAAATAATAGCTAAAATCGCTGAAAACTCAATATTTAATGAGTTATGGCCATTTTAAAGTTCTCAATAATTCATGCCTCAAAAAGTGATCACAAATAATAGCTAAAATCGCTGTAAACTCAATATTTAAGGAGTTATGGCCATTTTAAAGTTCTCAAAAATTCATGCCTACAGAAGTGATCACAAATAATAGCTAAAATCGCTGAAAACTCAATATTTAATGAGTTATGGCCATTTTAAAGTTCTCAATAATACGTTCCTAAAAAAGTGATCACAAATAATTGCTAAAATCGCTGAAAACTCAATATTTAAGGAGTTATGGCCATTTTAAAGTTCTCAATAACTAGTGGCTAAAAAAGTGATCACAAATAATAGCTAAAATCGCTGAAAACTCAATATTTAATGAGTTATGGCCATTTTAAAGTTCTCAATAATACGTTCCTAAAAAAGTGATCACAAATAATAGCTAAAATCGCTGAAAACTCAATATTTAAGGAGTTATGGCCATTTTAAAGTTCTCAATAATTCGTGCCTCAAAAAGTGATCACAAATAATAGCTAAAATCGCTGAAAACTCAATATTTAATGAGTTATGGCCATTTTAAAGTTCTCAATAACTAGTGGCTAAAAAAGTGATCACAAATAATAGCTAAAATCGCTGAAAACTCAATATTTAATGAGTTATGGCCATTTTAAAGTTCTCAATAATACGTTCCTAAAAAAGTGATCACAAATAATAGCTAAAATCGCTGAAAACTCAATATTTAAGGAGTTATGGCCATTTTAAAGTTCTCAATAACTAGTGGCTAAAAAAGTGATCACAAATAATAGCTAAAATCGCTGAAAACTCAATATTTAATGAGTTATGGCCATTTTAAAGTTCTCAATAACTAGTGGCTAAAAAAGTGATCACAAATAATAGCTAAAATCGCTGAAAACTCAATATTTAATGAGTTATGGCCATTTTAAAGTTCTCAATAATACGTTCCTAAAAAAGTGATCACAAATAATAGCTAAAATCGCTGAAAACTCAATATTTAAGGAGTTATGGCCATTTTAAAGTTCTCAATAACTAGTGGCTAAAAAAGTGATCACAAATAATAGCTAAAATCGCTGAAAACTCAATATTTAATGAGTTATGGCCATTTTAAAGTTCTCAATAATTCATGCCTCAAAAAGTGATCACAAATAATAGCTAAAATCGCTGTAAACTCAATATTTAAGGAGTTATGGCCATTTTAAAGTTCTCAAAAATTCATGCCTACAGAAGTGATCACAAATAATAGCTAAAATCGCTGAAAACTCAATATTTAATGAGTTATGGCCATTTTAAAGTTCTCAATAATACGTTCCTAAGAAAGTGATCACAAATAATTGCTAAAATCGCTGAAAACTCAATATTTAATGAGTTATGGCCATTTTAAAGTTCTCAATAATTCATGCCTAAAAAAGTGATCACAAATAATAGCTAAAATCGCTGAAAACTCAATATTTAAGGAGTTATGGCCATTTTAAAGTTCTCAATAATTCGTGCCTCAAAAAGTGATCACAAATAATAGCTAAAATCGCTGAAAACTCAATATTTATGGAGAGACTATCAGTAATATCTTCACTTTTTCCACCAATCTTTCTTTTTTCCACTTTCTTCATTTAGGAGGAACACATTGGACCAGCAGGTCTCCGAGTGGAGTGGTTACCAAACGGCAACCGCACGACCTTTAACCTAACGTAAGTATTCAGGGACAGTCCTGCTAAAAAAATTTGGAATCTCAATAAGTTATTACAATCCGGGAAAATACTGATTGTGCCTTTAGTGCTGCATTAAAGTCTACGAAATTTGGATATTAGCTCAGCATATGCTGAAAACCGGATCAAGGATTTATAAATTCCAAACAAGTTAAAAAGTATCAGTCGGTTTTGTCGACAGATGTATACTCTCAGGCAATCGACTTTAAATGTCCTGAAACGGATTTGGTCCAAAGATAGCTAGGGTCTAAAACCTTCATTTAGACTATGCACGATTTTACCGTATCAAATGGTGTATACCCTCTCTAGCCATATGGCTGAGAGTATGAAAAACGAAGAAAATTGGATTGAACGAGAATACCAACCGATTTGTTACGTCAGACAAAAAATCCTTACAAAAATTTAGGCCTTTGGAGTTATTAAGAGCGGAAAGTAATACTGGTTTATTTAAGGAAACCTAAATTACAGGTATAACCCTGCTGAAAATTTGGAATCTCAATAAGTTATTATAATTCTGGAATAATCTGATTGTACTTTTGGTGCTATTTAAAATTTTGAAAATCGGTTCTCGAATGAAAATCGTATCAAATTTTATAGTAAACCTCATAAGTACCAGACTTTTTAAATACCCTCTATGGACAGAGGACGTCCTGAAAGTTTATTTCTAAATACGACAATTCTAGAGACAGAAAATCCTCCACAGATTACCTGACTGTTGGGGGGTTTGCCCTCCTATGGAATTCACAGAGGACCTCCTGAAAGTTTCTTTCTATACACGATAATTCTAGAAACAGAAGACCCTCTACTAGATCAACAGACTTTTAAGGGTTTGTTGTTGAGTAAATCCCCTTCTGGAATTCTTCAGTAAAACCTAGAAATTCTGTAAGATTTTGGTATACAGGAGCTTTTTTTTGAGTTTAATAAGTGTAGGTTTTGATTTTCAGAACATTTCTTCTTGCATTCGCTTTCTGTTCTCTCACAGACGTAACACATTCTTCCTCTTCTCTCTACTCACCATTTTCAAAACTTTTTCCATAGTTTTCGCATCGATTTTCGGTACGACAGTTTTCAAATAATCCATTATCTCTTCAAAGTTTTCGCGGGCCAACAGCTCCGATTCGTGCACCGTTAACAGGGCAATGGCAAATTTAAAGATCACCTCAGATGACTCCAAGAACATCAGATCAAAAACTCTGGCCACAAAACCCAAGGGAAATTGGGAGCTAAACACGGTCAAAATCCATGGGGCGGCATACAAAGTGGGTGAGACATCGTTTTGATCCAACCACACATACAAGGACGGCAAATGGTCCTTGACCAGACGGGACAATTGATACAATTGTAGCTGGAATTTCTTCATGTCCGGCAAGTATTTGGTGCGCATTTGACGATGGAACATTAGATGTTTCAGCAGCTGGAAGGCTTCGGCTTCTTCGCACTGGGAAAAAGAGGGCAACAAATTATAATTTTGTTCGTAATTTTTAGAAACTTGTCCTCCAACTTACATGCAATAACAGTATGCCACATATAAAACCCAAACCCTGGCAATAGCCCAACTCCGGATCCAATATCGAATAGGCTTTGAGTAAATTAAACAACGACAGCTGACCCAATCCCAAAGGATCTTTGTAGAATTTATGATTGGGAAATGTCCTTCCCAAATCAATGAAAATCGCATGCTGATGTTCTGTGAGATTTTTCAACAACGCATGATAGGGTGTATTGAAATTGGGAAATTTCTTCGTATCCACCGGTGCTGTATACATGGAATGTTGTTCGGCCAAAAATGACCATACCTCACCACGTTTGGAACGTGGTACGCCCGTCTTAATGGCTTGAGCCAAGACAATGGGATCCCGTTTGTTACCGATTTTCATGGAATCTCTCTCAATGAAGGTGTCCCATCGTTCAATGAGCTGCCTGTCACAGGGTACGATCTCTTCATAGTCCAATTTCATGCGTTTCAATTCGTTTTCATTTTGTCGTGCCTGCAGCATTGCATTTTCGGTTTCCATGCGATTTAGGAGGATGGTTTGACGTATGGCCGTTTTCCATAGCTCACGTAGCTCTTCGCGGGTTCGTTTGCCGATTTTGGGTTCTGGAAGGAGGGTGAGAGAGGGAGAAAGGGAGAGGTGTTATTAAAAATATAACATACTTTATATACATAAATATATATACTCAGAGAACCTCAATTAGGAGAAGACAATCTGGAGGTTTTCCCATTGATAGGAGAACTTCTGAAAGTCTTGGTAAATTTTAGACTCAATGATAGTCTTCTGTAGATAGAGGACCTTCAGTATGCATTCTGATGATAGAAGACCATCTGAAACTTTTCTGTAGACGAAAGAGCTTCAAAAAGATTTCTTTCTTCTGGAGGACTTCTATGGAAAGGAGATATTCCGAAGGAAACCTTCCAAAGGTCTGCTATGACTAGGAGACCTTCTAAAGATATTCTAGACATAGAAGACCTTCTAAAGGTCTTCAATATCCCGAAAATTTCTATGGGTCATCTAGACTCAGAAGACCATCTAACGATCTTCTAGACTCAGAAGATCTTCCAGAGACTTTCTAGACACAGAATACCTTTTAGAGACATTCTAGACATAGAAGACCTTCTCAAGTTCTTCAACATCCCGAACATTTCTATGGGTCTTCTAGACTCAGAAGACCATCTAACGGTCCTCTAGACTCAGAAGATCTTCCAGAGGCTTTCTAGACACAAAATATCTTTTAGAGGTCCTCTGGACATAGAATAGCTTTTAGTGGTGTTTAAGGCACGTCTAGAGGCCTAGAGAATGGTTTCTAGAGGTCAGAAGACTTTCTAGACTCACAGAAGACCTGCAGAGCTTCTAGACACAGAAGACCCTCTAGAAGTCTTCTAGTCACAGAAGATCTTCCAGAGGTTTTCTCGACACAGAAGACCCTCCAGAGAGACGCAGAAGATCTTCCAGAGGTTTTCTCGACACAGAAGACTTTCCAGTTGTCTTCTAAGTACAGAAGAGCTTCTACAGTTCTTCTAGACTAGGAAAACTCTCCACAGGCCATTTAGTCAGGGAAGACCTTCAAGACGCCTTTAAAACACATGAGACCTTTTAGAAGCCTTCTAGACCCAGAACAACTTCTAAACTCAGTGCAGGTCTTCTAAATTCAGAGGACCTTCCAGAAGCCTTCTAGTCCCAGCAGACCTTTTACAGATCTTAAAGACAAAAAAGACATTCTAGAATTCTTCGAGGCCCAGAAGGCCTTCTGGAGATTCTCTAGAATACCATCTGGAGGTCTTCTAAACACAGAAGAGCTTCTAAAGTTCCTTCCAGAGATCGTTTGGAAACAGAAAAGCTTCTAGAGTTCTTCTAGACTCAGAAAACTCTCTAGAGATCATTTAATCAGAGAATACCTTCCAGAAGTCTTCCAGGCCCAGAAGACCTTCTTGTGGTCTTCGAGACACAAACGGACTTCAAGATGTCTTTAAGACACATAAGACATTTTAGAAGCCTTCTAGACCCAGAAGACCTTCTAGAAGTCTTCTAGTCTCAACAGAACTTTTGGAGGTCTTCTAAACTCAGAGGACCATCCATAAGTCTTCTAGTCTAAGCAGACTTTCTAAAGTCCTTAAAAATAAAAGGCTCTTCTAGAATTCTTTGACATAGGCATAGAAAGTCTTCTGGGGAGCTTCTAGAGGTCTTTTGAACCAGAATGACATCTAGAGACCTTCTAGGCAAAGAAGAGCTAAAATAAGTCTTCTAAACACAGAAGAGCTTCTAAAGTTCCTTCCAGAGATCTTCTGGACACAGAAAAGCTTTTAGAGTTTCTCTTGACTTAGAAAACTCTCCAGAGGTTATTGAGTCACAGAAGACCTTAAAGAAGTCTTCTAGGCCCAAAAGACCTTCTAGAGATCTTCGAAACACAAAAGGGCTTCAAGATGTCTTCGAAACACATAAAACCTTTTAGAAATCTTCAAGACCCAGAAGACCTTCTTCTAAACTCAGAGGACATTATAGAAGTCTGTTAGTCCCAGCAGACCTTTAACAGGTCTTAAAGACAAAAAAGACCGAGTTTTTTTTCGAGGCCCAGAAGGCCTTCAGGAGGTTTTCTAAATCTCTTGGAAGTACTTTAGACGCAGAAAAAACTTCTATGGGTCTTATAGACACAGAATGACATCTAGAGGTCTTTTTAACAAAGAAGACCCTCTATAGGTTTTCCGAGAATAGAAGACCCTTTGGACTATAGAAGGTAGTTGTTCTAAAGAAAAAAATTCTGCAGGCCTCATAGAAATTTCATATTTCCAACGGATTTTTGACCCTCCGCCTCGTCTGACTCACGTGTTATCCTCATTGGTGACAAATATTCCGACTGGCCATCGGTTCCATCCATGCCCTTAGAAGGTGTTACCACACTATTTAGTATGGCCTGGCGCCAAGAGCCTTGGTGGGTCTCCTCCACTTTGGGGCTGTTGCCGACTTTCATGAATCTGAGAAAGAAAAAACAAAATTTATTAAAAACTCCCATCTCTGAAACAAAATCCACCATTTACTCACATATCCATCATTGGTGATTTAAGTTGTTCCGCCTGCGGTTTACTTGGACTAGTACCACCAATGGTATTCGATCTGGATCTAAAGCCCTCTGGTGGTGAGTCACCACCTCCAGCACCTTCCAATTTCGGTTCTGCTGAACTTTCCCTTATCTTATGTTCCTTGACCTGCAGACTATTTGCCCCAATGTCATCCTTGGAGGCTTTACGCTTCAACAAATGATCAAAGGAATTGGTGAGGGAGCGTTTTGCTTTCATAAAAATGGTACTGCCACCCAAATATTGATTTAAGAACTCCGAACGATTCTCGGCCGTATCGTGAACATGCCGCTGCTGCCTTGACTCACAGTGAGCCCGCAGCAGCATCATGAGGAATTGATTCTGCTCCTGCAGCGGTGCGGTCATCTTCTCCGAACCATAAAATTTCGCCCATATAGTATCCTGTTCATCATCGGTCAGCGTTTCAATTCGGCGAAAGATCATCGCCTGTGTCTTCTTCTCACTGAGGCCCTCAACATCGGTACAGAGTTTGTGATACCACAACATGGGACAATGATCACAGGAGAATATTTGGGTGGCCTCCTTTTTCTTTTGCTCGGCACAGGTGACAAAGGCCTGGGAAATGGCTGCAACGATGTCATCGCAAACATGATCCGATTGACATTTGAAAACATAACCAATATAACCGTCGTTGTGAGCCTCGCGGCATATAATTCCAAAATGATCGGCATTCTTTTGACCCTGGGCACAGCTGGCCACATCTTTGAAGTCCTTGTAGAGCAGGACCTGCTTGCGATCGGGTGAGATCAGACGTAAATCTGAGCGACCAACGAGGAATACCATCGTGCGATTCTGTTCCACATAGGGTGGTATACAGCCGTAAGACGCCGAGCGATCACGTTGTTTGGGTAAGCTACAGAGGAGGAGAGAGAAATGTGAAAGAGAGAGAAGATTTAGATTTAGGTTTAAAAGAAAATGAGCTAAATCTAGGTGCAGAAGCTTTGAACTTCCAGTTAAAGATAACCTAATTTCAAGTCTTTAAGACACAGAGAACCTTCTAGAAGCCTTTTAGACCCAGATGACATTTTGGAAGTTTTTTTGGCGAAGAAAACCATTTTAGGGCTTATAGTTCCAGACGAGCTTCTAGAAATCTTTTAGGCCCAGAAGATCACCTGGAGGTATTCGTGACTTAGGAGATCGTCCAGATGTCTAAAAGACGCAGAAGACTTTCTAGAAGCATTTTAGGCCCAGATGACAATATGGAAGTTTCTTTAGCAAAGAAAATCATTTTAAGGCTTTTTTCAGATCGGCTAGAGTTCTTCGAGACTCAGGAAATCATTCAGAATTTTTCGAGACACAGAAGACCTTCCAGAAGCCTTTTAGGCCCAGATGACATTTTGGAAGTTTTTTGGCGAAGAAAACCATTTTAGGGGTTATAGTTCCAGACGAGCTTCTAGAAATCTTTTAGGCCCAGAAGATCTCCTGGAGGTCTTCGTGACTTAGGATATCGTCCAGATGTCTAAAAGACGCAGAAGACTTTCTAGAAGCATTTTAGGCCCAGATGACATTTTGGAAGTCAAGTCTTTGGTCAAGAAAACCATTTTAAGGCTTCTATCAGATCAGCTAGAGTTCTTCGAGACTCGTCCAGATTTTTTCGAGACACAGAAAACCTTCTAGAAGCCTTTTAGGTCCAGATGACATTTTGAAAGTTTTTTTGGTCAAGAAAACCATTTTAGGGCTTCTAGTCACAGAGGACCTCCTAGAAATCTTTTAGCCCCAGAAGGTCAGCTAGAGTTCCTTGAGACTCAGGAGATCATCCAGAATTTTTCGAGACACAGAAAACCTTCTAGAAGCCTTTTACGCCCAGATGACATTTTGAAAGTTTCTTTGTTCAAGAAAACCATTTTAAGGCTCCTATCAGATCAGCTAGAGTTCTTCGAGACTCAGGAGATCATCCAGAATTGTTCGAGACACAGAAGACATTCTACAAGTCTTTTAGGCCCAGATGACATTTTGGAAGTTTCTTTGGTCAAGAAAACCATTTTAAGGCTTCTATCAGATCAACTAGAGTTCTTCGAGACTCGTCCAGATTTTTTCGAGACACAGAAAACCTTCTAGAAGCCTTTTACGCCCAGATGACATTTTGAAAGTTTCTTTGGTCAAGAAAACCATTTTAAGGCTCCTATCAGATCAGCTAGAGTTCTTCGAGACTCAGGAGATCATCCAGAATTGTTCGAGACACAGAAGACATTCTACAAGTCTTTTAGACCCAGATGACATTTTGGAAGTTTCTTTGGTCAAGAAAACCATTTTAAGGCTTCTATCAGATCAGCTAGAGTTCTTCGAGACTCGTCCAGATTTTTTCGAGACACAGAAAACCTTCTAGAAGCCTTTTAGGTCCAGATGACATTTTGAAAGTTTTTTTGGTCAAGAAAACCATTTTAGGGCTTCTAGTCACAGAGGACCTCCTAGAAATCTTTTAGCCCCAGAAGGTCAGCTAGAGTTCCTTGAGACTCAGGAGATCATACAGAATTTTTCGAGACACAGAAAACCTTCTAGAAGCCTTTTAGGCCCAGAGGACATTTTGGAAGATTCTTTGGTAAAGAAAAATATTTTTGGGCTTCTAATCCTAGAGGACCTTCCAAAGGTCTTCTAGTCCCAGAAGACCTTATAGAGGTCTTCGTGACGTAAAAGATCTTCAAGAAGTCTTCTACGGACAGACAGCCTTGTAGAAGTGTTTTATATCACGACACAGATTATCTTTTTGAAGTCTTCTAGGCCAAAAGGCCGTCTAGGGGTCTTCGAGACATAGAAAGCGTTTTAGAAAACTTTTACACTCTGGAAGTAATTTTAGAAGTCTACTACGATTTATAGGATTTTCAAGAGGTCTTTTAGACACAGAAGACCTTTAATAGGTTATTCAGATACAGAAGATCTTCTGGAAAATTTCTACGCGCGGATGGCCTTCTAGAAGACTTTTTGATCAAGGAGACCTTTTTTAGGGCTTCAAAGCCCGGAAGAAAACCCTTCTAGTCCCATAGGACCTTTCAAAAGTCTTTTAGTCCCAGAAGACCTTCTAGAGGTCTTCGTGACGCAAAAGATCTTTAAAAAGTCTTTTACGGACATAGGAAGGGCATCTTGTGTCTTTTAAATGTCTTCTTTCCGTAGAAGAACATTCAACGAAAGAAGGTCTTCGACAAGTCTTCAAGACACAAAAGACTTTCAAGAAGTCTCCAAGACACAGAATATCTTTTTGAAGTCTTCTAGGCCCAAAAGGGCGTCTAGGGGTATTCGAGACACAGAAAGCCTTTTAGAGAACTTTTACACTTTGAGGACCTTCCAGAAGTCTTCTACGATTTGGAAGATTTTCAATAGGGCATTCAGATACAGAACACCATCTGGAAAATTTCTAGGCGCGAATGACCTACTAGAAGACTTTTTGGTCAAGGAGACCTTTTTTCGAAGCCCGGAAGACCTTCTCCCAGTCTTCAAGACGCAGGAGGCCAAGGTCTACAATCTAAATGTTTACTAAGGGTCTTCGAGACACAGAAAGCCTTTTAGAGAACTTTTACACTGAGAAGACCTTTTACACTTTGAGGACCTTCCAGAATTCTTCTACGATTTGGAAGATTTTCAAGAGGTCTTCTAGACACAGAAGACCTTCTGGAAACCTTCTAGGCTCGGATGACCTTTGGAGGACATTTTGATCAAGGATACCTTTTTTAGAGCTTCGAAGCCCGAATACCTTATCCATGTTTGAAGACACAGGAGGCTTTCAAGAGGTCTTCTATGCTCAGCTGACCTACTAGTAGACCTAGTAGTAGCATCCAAAGGGTTTTGAGCTTGAAGAGCTTTCAAGGGTCTTCTATTTATGGAAGAGCTTTTAAAGGACTTTCATCAGCTTTTTTATCTGAAGAAAATCTTTAAAACGTCTTCTATCCAAATAAAGGTCTTCTGTTGCGATTTAACCAAAAGGTTTAAAAAAAGCTCCAAAAAATTAATGTCAAACTATTTTTAACTGGAAGTTCTTTTTAATGCAAAAATTGTGGACTATCAACTAAAAAATTTCGCAGAATCTCTGAAAAGAAACACATGCCGGGAATCAACAAAAGAAGAGGAGAACATAATAGAGGGAAATAAAAATTCAACACAAGACAAGCATCTCTAACAAAACTAAAAATATCGAAATCAAACAAAAACTTTGGATTCAAGAGGAGGGTGTACATGCGGAATACAACAAAATACGATTTGGTTAGGTGCTGGCCACTCTTTACTCACTTATCCGCTCCATGATTGGGATGTAGATGTTGCCTTTGCTGGCTCGTGGTATTATTTTGCTGGGCCTCTGGCGTTTGTTGATCCTGTGGCTGAGCTATGGTCATAGACGCTTGTTCGGACTCTTGATCCTGCCTTGGAGGCGAAGGATGTTTTTGATTGATTATAACATTACTCGGCAAGGGTTCGTTTTCATCGATATGACTTTGAGATTCACTGAAATCCGATGTGTAGCGAAAGAGGGGAAGAAGAGAAATTAATTTCAAAGGAATTGTCCAGGGAGGAGGGAGATTCAGGGGTAAGTGAAGAGAATTTTCAGAGAATTATTAAAATATGGAATTAATTTTCTTCGACAATGGTAAGGCACTTTGTGGTCAATTTAGATTTGTGTTCCTTTTGTGGGATTCTTTTTCATTCTTCGTCCTCTTTTTCTTCTTCGTTCTTTTATCTCTTACATTCCATCATTCCAGGGCCCTGTGGCCCCCTTTGACTTTTCCGTTGTGGCTAAACACTCACATTTACATACTCTTGAATTCGACATTTAACACAGAACACACAAACCCTTTACCCACACTCAAAGGATAAACCTGGGAGTAAAGAGAAATTCTCTCTCTCTTTCTCTCTCCTCATCAGTACTTACTCTTTCTTCAATGGAATATCCAGCTGACTTATGCCACGCATCAGACGATTTCCCACCGGCAACTTGTTTTCCTTATTATAATCCTCCAGAGTCTTGTTGTCGCCCTGGTCACTGAGATCAGCATCGGTAGAATCGGCTGTGTTCGCCTCACTATCACCGGTGGCTCCCGGAATCGGCGTAGCGGCCTTGACAAAAACGTTCACCTTCTCCGCTGGTTCTTCATCGCCTTCCGGCTCATCTTTTTTGCTCTCTTCTTTCTTCTCTTGCAGCCGTTTAGCATCTTCACGTTCGGCCTCTTCCTCATCCTCTTCCTTGACATCGTGATCTTTAAGGGAACAATTTTTCAAATCCAATGTTCCTGCTCCCACAAATGCTCCCTCGCTAGTCATGGACATTTTACGATTTGACGACATTTGCATGAGACGTTGTCGCTGCGCATCGTACGCCTTGAATTTGGGCAAGGCATCGTCGATGAAGGAGTAGGGTACCCTCTTGTGCGACACACGTATCTTGCCCACATACATAACCTCAAAGAAGTGCGTGTGATTCGGTGATATATCGGCGAGTAGCGAGAGATTGGATTGAGCTGAGGTAGATGTTGGAATGTTTACCTGCAAGAGATAAGGGGATAATATAAAATATATTTAGAATATAGAGATATAGCAGATCGACATCAAGGGATGGAGAATCCTTCTAGAATCCGAGACCGTTAAGAGGTCTGTCAATAGGTTTGCTACACATAAAGGATCGTTGGAAATTCTACATACATAGGAATGACAGACCTACAAAGAAGGCCACCTGAAGGGAGATCTTATATAAATTTTAATTGGAAAGACACTTTCTCATAAAACAGGGTACTTTTAGAGAACATGGAGGTATAATCCTAAAAGAAAATAAGATTTTCTGAGAAGTTTTCAAATATTAGGGGGTCTAAATTAAAATTAACGTTACAAAATGCCAAATATATAAATAAATAAATAAATTAAAATTAACGTTACAAAAGCCTTACCAAAAGGCTCCTTTTTTTAGAATGAGTCCTTGAGAACACGCCCTTTTATAGAAAGGATACAAAACAGACTCTTGAGTTACCTTTTCTTTATATTTTATAAATTCAAATTTTGTTACGCAAATGATCCTTGAGGAAAATCTATTTTAGAGAAAGGATCTCTGAGAAAATGTTCTTAAGGAGTCCTATCGTAGAGACTGTTTTTACATTACAGACACTTTTTACATTACATACACATTTTTTAAAAAAAAGAGGTCCTTGAAGCTACCTTTTATTAGATAAAGGGTCCTTACTGGATATTAGAGGCATCTTTTTCTTAAACAATGGTTTCTAAAAACCTTAAGGGTCCTTAAGGGTTAATTTTCTGCCAGGCGTTTTTTAGAGGGGAAGGATTGTGTCGGAGTGAAGTTTAGGCGTTTTCATAAAAATATCCTGAGAGACAACCTATCTTAGAAAGACAGTCCTTAAGGAAACAATTCTTTAGACAAAGAATTCTTTCCCAAAACATGGTCCTTAGAAATTATCCTGAAATGTATTTTTTACAGAACGAGAGGATCCTTAAGACCATGATTTTTTGGATAAAGGTCCTTGAAGGCAGTCTTTTCTTCGATTCCTTTTATTCCAAGAGTCATAAAAAAATCTAAAGTTTTCTTTCATTTAAAAAACTGCATTTTTACTTACCGTTCCTGCGGAATTACTGAGACCATGTGTATAGGATTTCGACGATTTCATTTTGGACGATGTTGCGGCCAATGTTGGACTAGCTTCATGTTGAGCCTGCTGGCGCATAGCTTCGGACATTTTCAAATTGGTGGCTGGCGTTGTGTGTATGCCATTGCCGGCCAGTAGTTTTTGCATAGTCAATTCAGCGCCAGCACCGCTGCTATTGGCCACCAGCGTTTGCGGAATGCTGCCCACCGAACCGCCCAAGGTGTGGGCGGGATCACGCATTTGATGCATTAACTCGGCCATCTGGAAAAGAAGAAAAGATTTTTAATTTTTTGTGTCAAAGGAAAAAGGTAAAGATTGTTAGATAATATGGGTAAGTTCCATAACAAAAATAGACACACATACATAGAAAAATATTAGAGTCATGTTATTTTGAATTAGTCGAAACTGGCAAAAATGTATTAGGGAAGTGTATTAAAGAGGTCCTTTTCATAGAAAAATGGTTTAAAATTTAATAATTTGTTATAGAAAGGATAATAATTGCATAGAGTTAATGGGTCTTAAAAGGATTAGTTTTTCATAGTTTAAGCATGGATGTTTGTCCTTCATAGCATTTTTTGATTTTCTTTTGAAATCTTTCAAAGCCTCCTTTAAAGGACTTTTCCCAGAAAAAGGGCTTGTTCCATGGTCCATGGAGATTTGTCCTTAAAAAATGTTCGTCTAAGAGGTTAACTCTTCAGACCAGGTGTTTCTGATATGTTAATAGCTTAAATTACAAGACCTAGCAGATATTTTTTTTCAAAAAATGTCACAGATCATATCCTTTTTCTGGTCATTTACTGATCCTTTGGAAGAAAAACAAGTAAGTAAAAAACTAAGTCGGCCGAACTTTTAATACCCTCTACCATTCAGAAGGAAATTGAATAATGTCCAAAAAAAAATCCGTTGAAAAATGCCGCTCAAAGCAACACCGTTATGTGGGGGCTATACGAAGACGTGGTAATTTTTCGTCATAGGTTGTAGTACCTTTAACGAGCTTCAAATAAGAAATTTGAAGCAATTTCGCAGAATAATGTCGTTAATATCATCAAAAACCCAAATATAGGGAAGTACTTTATATGGGATCTATATGAAGACGTGGACCTGCATAGGCAATTTTCAGTCACAGGCAGCAGCACCCATTACGAGCTTCAAATGCAAAATTTGAAGCAGTTCCGGTGAATAATGTCGCTAAAATCATTAAAATTCCGAATATAGGGAGGTATCGCTATATGGGACTATGGGAAGACCTGGAACTGTATTTCGGTCATAGGCTGTAGAACCCATTAGGAACTTCATATAAGCAATTTTATACGATTCTGGTGAATAATGTTTATACTATTTCGGTGAATATTGTTCCTAAAATCGACAAAATACCTAATATAGAGAGATACTGATATATGGGGCCTATACGAAGATCTGGACCTGCATGCGCAATTTTCCATCATAGATTGTAGTACCAATTATGAGCTTCAAATACGAAATTTGAAGCAATTCCGATGAATAATGCCCCTGAAATCATCAAAATACCGAATATCGGGAAGTACCGTTATATGGGGACTATACGAAGACGTGAACCTGCATACGCAATTTCTTGTCATAGGCGGTAGTACCCTTGACAAGCTTCAAGTACGAAATTTAAAGTAATTCCCATGAATAATGCCCCAAAAATCATCAAAATACCGAATATCGGGAGGTATCGTTATATGGGGGCTATACGAAGACGTAGTCCTGCATAGAACATTTTCCGTCATAGTTTGTAGTACCCATTACCAGCTTTAAATACGAAATTTGAAAAAATTCCGGTAAATAACGTCGCTAATATCATCAAAATACCGAATATCCGGATGTATCGTTATATGGGGGCTATACGAAGCACTGGACCTGCATAGACAATTTTCTGTCACAGGCTGTAGTACCCCTTATGAGCTTCAAATACGAAATTTTAAACAATTCCGGTAAATAATGACGCTAATATCATCAAAATACCGAATATCGGGAGGTATTGATTTTCCGGGGCTATAAGAAGACATGGACCTGCATAGGCTATTTTCTGTCACAGGCTGTAGTACCCATTAGGAACTTCAAATACCAAATTTGAAGCAATTCCGATGAATAATGCCCTAAAATCCTCAAAATACCGAACATCGGGAGGTATAGTTATATGGGGGCTATACGAAGACCTGGACCTGCATAGACAATTTTCTGTCATAGGCTGTAGTACCCATTATGAACTATAAATACAAAATTTGAGACAATTCCGGTAAAAAATGTCGCTAAAATCATCAAAATACCGAATATCGGAAGGTATTTTTATATGGGGACTATGCGAAGACGTAGGCCTGCATGAGTCATAGGCTGTAGTACCCTTGACGAGCTTTAAATACGAAATTTGAAGCAATTCCGATGAATAATGCCCCTAAAATCATCAAAATACCGAATATCGGGAGGTACTGTTATATGGCGGCTATATGAACACGTGGACCTGCATAGGAAAATTTTCGGCATAGGTTCCACGTGTTCATATAGCCGCCATATAACAGTACCTCCCGATATTCGGTATTTTGATGATTTTAGAGACATTTTTTTTTACCGGAATTGTATTTTGTATTTAAAGTTCATAATGGGTACTACATTACCAGCTTCAAATACAAAATTTCGAGCAATTCCGGTAAATAATGTTGTAATAATCATCAAAATACCGAATATCGGGAAGTACCGTTATATGGGGACTATACGAAGACGTGAACCTGCATGAGCAATTTTTTGTCATAGGCGGTAGTACCCTTGACGAGCTTCAAATACGAAATTTGAAGCAATTCCGATGAATAATGCCCCTAAAATCCTCCAAATACCAAACATCGGGAGGTATAGTTATATGGGGGCTATACGATAATGTGGACTTATATACACAATTGTCTTTTAGGAGGTAAAGTACTTAGAAATAACTCCTTGTGTAGAATTTCAGACAATTCCATTGAAAAATATGGCTAAAATCATCAAAATATCGAATACTAGGGGGTACCTTTGTAGGGGGATATACGATATTGAGGACTTAGATAGACAATTATCTTTCAGGGGGTAAAGTACTCGGAAAGAATTCCTTGTGTGGATTTTCAGACAATTCCACTGAAAAATGGGGCTAAAATCATCAAAATACCGAATATCGGGAGGGTATTGTTATATGGGGGCTAAACGAAATCTTGGACCTATATAAACAATTCTCGGTCAGGGGGTAAAGTACTTACAAAGAACTCCTTGTGTAGAATTTCAGACAATTCCATTGAAAAATGTAGCTAAAATTATCAAAATACCGAATATCGGGAGTGCCGTCAAATGGGGGCTATACGAAGATGTATACTTGTATGCGAAATTTTTTGTCATAGGCTGTGGTACCCATTATGAACTTTATATACAAAATTTGAAACAATTCCGGTAAAAAATGTCGCTAAAATCATCAAAATACCGAATATCGGGAGGTACCGTTGTAGGGGGGATATACGATAACGTGGACTTATATACACAATTTTCTTTCAGGAGGTAAAGTACTTAGAAAGAACTCCTTGTGTAGAATTTCAGACAATTCCATTGAAAAATATGGCTAAAATCATCAAAATATCGAATACTAGGAGGTACCTTTGTAGGGGGATATACGATATCGTGGACCTATATACACAATTCTCTTCCAGGGAGTAAAGTACTCAAAAGGAACTCCTTGTGGTAATTTTCAGACAATTCCATTTAAAAATGTAGCTGAAATCGTAAAAATACCGAATATCGGAGCGTACTGTTATATGGGGGCTATACGATATCGTGGACCTATATAGACAATCTTCTACGATGGGGGTAAGGTACTCAGAACAAAAACCCCAGTGTGGATTTTCAGACTATTCCATTGAAAAATGTGGCTGAAATCATCAAAATACCGAATATCGGGGGGTACTGTTATATGGGGGCTATACAATAACGTGGACCTATACAGATATTTCTCTTCGAGAGGGTAAAGTACTCAGAAGACACTCTTTGTGTGGCTTTTCAGACAATTTCATTGAAAAATCAAGCTAAAATCATTAAAATAAATAATATGAGGAGGTACCGTTATATGGGGGATATACGATATCGTGGACCTATATAGACAATTCTCTTCCAGGGGTAAATTACTTAGAAGGAAATCCTTGTGTGGATTTTCATACAATTCCATTGAAAAAATGTGGCTACAATCATCAAAATATCGAATATCGGGGGTACCGCTGTATGGGGGCTATACGATATCGTGGACCTATACAGATATTTCTCTTCGAGGGGGCAAAGTTCTCTGAAGAAACTCCTTGTGTAGAATTTCAGACAATTCCATTGAAAAATGTGGCTAAAATAATCAAAATACTGAATATCGGGAGGTACTGTTATATGGGACTATATGATATCGTGGACCTATACAGATATTTCTCTTCGAGGGGGTAAAGTAATCAGAAGAAACTCTTTGTGTGGCTTTTCAGACAGTTCCATTGAAAAATTTGGTTACAATCTTCAAAATACCGAATATAGGGGGGGGGTACTGTTCTATGGGGCTATACGATGTTGTGGACCTATATAGACGATATTCTGTCAGGGGGTTAATTACTCAGAAATAATTTCTTGTGTAGAATTTCATACGATTCTATTGAAAAATGTGCCTACAATCATCAAAATACCGAATATGGGGAGGTACTGTTGCATGGGGATATACAATATCGTGGACCTTTAGAGAATTGTCTCTCTTCCAGAGGGTAAAGTACTCAGAAGGAACTCCTTGTGTAGAATTTCAGACAATTCCATTGAAAAATGTGGCTATACTCATCAAAAAACCGAATATCGGGAGGTACTGTTATATGGGGGCTATACGATATCGGGAACCGATATAGCCCATTTTAAAACTTGATCTGCCTACAAACAAAAGACTGATCTGTGCACATTTTTAGCTACCCATCTTAAATTGTTTCGACTCTAGCTTTATTACATCACCATGGCAAAATCGCCTTAGAATTTTACGCTGATCAAGAATATATATACTTTGTTGGGTCTATAATTATTATTTCCATATTCTCTAACAAAATACCTTCCTTCCTATTACAGGATATTCATCCATTCAAAGAAACCTGTGTGTGTGTAACGAAATATGTACATGTCCTCGTCAATTAAAATTCTGTACCCACAAACAATTATTCAAAAACAAACAAAAAAACACTGTGTATTTATGTAACTTCCATATGTACATACTCTTACAT